TGAAACATGAATTTTAGTATATCATGAGCATATTTTTTTCTAATTTTGCAATACTTATAATATCATACCAGGATTCATGTGGAAGTCTAATATTTGGTATATAATATTCTTACAATAAATGTATTAATTCAATTATATTCAAAATGATGGGTCGCAATTTTTACTGAAATTGCAAATTTAATTTCAACAATGAAATTATTGTTTAAAAAAAATAGCACAACAGCAAGATGGACAATCATATATAGAATTATAATGCTCCATATAATGCTTTGATTTGATGCGTATATAATGTTATTTTTCGAACATCTTTGTAAAAAATTGATTTTTGTAATTTTTGAAAAAATTCGATTTTATTTCGAGATTTCCTCTATAGGTGAAGTATATTGAACAATATTCCTATGGGAGAAAATAATTGTAAGTATGAGTACTTTCATTAATACTATGGGTGCCATGGTTATCGCTCAAACGATCAAGTTATATCTCGATTGCGTAAATTGAAATTTTGCTATTTTCTAAATTCACGGCAACAACATTCTTTTATCCTGATCGTACATCACAATATTTGAATGTGCGACCATTTGTTCAAGAAACCGTCAAGTTATTCTTCATTTTTCATGCCGCGGCGAACAAAAGCAGTTGCAAAGCGTATAAAGAACTTAGTTCAAAGCGCGAAAAATAGGGTAGAGCCATATGTCGTCAACACTGTTGAATTTGTGCTATCTGTATTATTGAGCGGCGCTACATTTTGCCAATCAGAATTTCAATTCATGCTGAATAACATCAAAGTTCCGTCAGAAGCTACATTTCATCGAGTCCAAGAAAAGGTTGGTCGTGTTATCATAGAAGTTGCCAGAGAATCTGTTAATTATTGGAAATCTCGAATGAGAAAATGTTCGGGACTTTTGTTTGACGGTTCTTGGAGTCAGAGAAGAAATGCAATGTTTTGCTATGTACAATTTGTAGAAGAGAAACTCAAAAAAATTGTAGATTGGGAAGTGATATCTAAATCTTTTAAAAATTTCAAAGGTAATTTCAACGGAAAATCAAATGAAATGGAATTTGAAGGCTTAAAAAGAATGCTGAAGCGTTGGAATAATGAAAAACGTGTAAATTTTTTTGTGCATGATGGCGATGTCAAAATTGTTTCTACAATCAAAAATACGTTCAAAGGTATCAGAGAATACAGAGATCCTGGACATTTTCTTAACAATATACAGAAAAAGCTCAAACTGCCAGAATTCAGAATCTTATCTAGCATTTCAAAGAATTTATTGCGTTGGCTTAGGCAACTTCTCAATGACACACATATGTCAATTAAAACAAAGAAGTTTTTATGGTTGAATTCCGCTAAACATTATGCCGGAAATCATAAATTTTGTCCAGATCCTGAAAAATGCAAGATGATTAAACCATGGAAATATGCAAAAAATAAAACTGCTATAAAAACACTTAAAAAATTCCTCGAAGATACCGTAAAAATCTTTGATATGGTAAAAAAGATTCATTCAACTCAAGTAGTTGAATCGATAAACCATATCAAAGCAATGCTTGCTAATAAAAATATTAATTGGCATGCTTCTTGGCCAATTAGGATGGCAGTCACAATATTGCATTTCAATGAAGGTATGTTTGAAACGATTGTAGCAATAAGATACAGGTTAAATTTACCAACAATGCCAGAAATGATGAACAGATATTTCAGAATGTATGATACAACAAAAGATTTAATCAAAGCATTCAAAAATTCAAAGCAAGTTCAAAAAAAGTTTGCGGCATTAAGAGCTATAAAGAGAGGTCTTCAAGCTACCGATGATCGTATTACTCTTAAATCACATAAATAATTATTAAATTTATTTCACCCTCAAAACATCATAATCTTGCACCTTCTTTGAATAAACACTTTCACCTTCTATTTTTAATTAATGTTTTTTAATTGTCCAAAATTTTTAGATTATATAAGATATAATTTTTTATAAAAGTATTATTTTCTAAAAGATAAGTATATATTCTTAATCACAAAACCTAGCATTTTATCATATCTATATATCAGCTTCCTAAATATAATACTCATATAGTTAGTATGATTTTAATGTTTTTGAACATGAAACGAAAATATGATTACAATCATATAACATAATGGAGTTATTGATATAACTTATATGCATGATACATTAAGAAGTCTTCCAACAATATAGATATAGTTGTAGATTCCTATGATTCCTTTTATATTGTGAGATAATAACATTTTTATGCTGTCAGGAGCCTATGAGTGCCCATCCTTAACTGTGCAATTTTATTCGGGTCGGAATTATGTTTCAATTACTTGAGGAATATAGGAGCTGATTATACCCGCACGTCTGAAGAGTATGCTATTCGGAGTGGAAATAGATACATTTTTTCTCAAATGATTGAAGATGGACAATCTTTTGATGAGATGATCAACATTGCATTGGGATGTAGAAGTTATGAAATTGCTGAATATCTTAAATCAAATTTGGGGCAATTTCCTGACTCGCTTGCAGTAAGCTTTTATTACGGAAATTATCATTTTGCATCATATTTACTTTCAAAAGGAGCAGATGTCAACAAAATATACATTTTTCCCTTATCCATTTCCATCATTGTTTTATAGAATTCTCTTTAATGCAATATCCACCTTTGATTTTTATAATTATATTTACTTTCATATCTTTTATTTGATAATGGAGTTCTTCAAAATTTTGTATCCTTCATCATTTTATTTTATTCTTATTCACTTAATATCTCCAGTTGGTTTATGAAATTCTCATAGAATTAATTTTATTCATTGCTTTATATAATTCCATTTCTTTTAATATATTCTATTGTTTTATGAAATTCATTTCGAGTTTATATCTATCATTGACTTAAACTGCTAATTTAATATTCATGTTCATAATAGATTAATGAAATTCATTTAATATTAATTATTGCCCTCGGTTTTGCAATCCAAGCAAATTCAAATGAAATTGTCAAATTCTTAATTGATCGTGGTGCAGATGTCAACTTGAAACTTTTTATCTTTAGTCTCATTTCAATCATTTCTTTACCAAATTATTTTTATCTATATATTAATCATTGCTTTTTAACAATCCCTTTATTATCATATTAATCATTAATTTATTTTATTCTATTTATTATTATATTTATCAATGATTAATCGAGTTCTTTTTCTGGTCATATTTATCGTAGTTTAATGTAATATGTTTTCTTTTCATATTTGTCATTGTTTTTTTATATTCTCATTGTTTTAATGTCCATTACTGTTTTATTGGATTATCTACAATTTCATATTTATCTTCGAATTATGGAATTCTCATTGTTTTAATATAATTCATCTATTTATGAAATTTTATATATAATTATATTTACATTTATTTTATTCAATTCAATTGATACTGATGAAATCCCACTAAGTATTGCAATTTACGAAAATTCAATTGAAATGGTCAAGCTGTTAGTTGAACATGGTGCAAATGTCAACATGAAACATTTTCTCTTTAATTTCACATTAATCATTTGTTCATCAAATTATTTTTCATTTCATATTTCCCATTACTTTTTGGCATTCATCCTCTTTTCATTTTTATCATTGGTTAATCGAATTTAATTTCTTTTCATATTTACATTTGCTTTATCGCATTTTTAATTTCTTCATATTAACAATTGTCTTACAAAATTATCTTTTTATAAATGTCAATCATTGAATAATAAGATTCATTTATTGCGAATCAATGTCCCCTCAGTGATGCAATCAAAGAAAATTCCCTCGAAATAGTTCAATATTTGGTTGAACATGGTGCAGATGTAAACATGAAACTTATTCTCTTTATCTTCATATCCATTAATTTGTTGTGAAGTACTCTTTATTCTCATGTTATCCAGTGATTTATAAAATCATATTTCTTTTCATATCTGCCATTGTTATATAGAATTCTATATATACATATTTTATCTATCATTGTTTTATCGAATTATCTTTACATTATTGCTTATTATTTACTTATGGAATTTCATATATGGTTCTTTTATTCTTTGTAGATGTCCTCTCAGTATTGCAATCAAAAAGAATTATTTCGAAATCGTTAAATATTTGGTTGAACATGGTGCAGATGTTAATATGAAGCTCTTTCTCTATATGCTAATATCTATCATTATGCTATGGAATTTTTATTAATTTCACATCTATATTTGAGTAATGAAATTCTGTTAATACAAATGAATTTCCACTCAGTATTGCAATCAAAAGGAATTTAAATGAGATTACTAGATTCCTCTATGATCATGGGGCAAAGACTGATCAATGATTTAACATTTTAAATCAAAATAAAAATTACTTTATAAATGTGATGTTTCTTTTCATTTGTAACTTTTTATCTTTGATAATTAGTTAGAATTTTATTTGAGATATATGAAAATGAAAATACATCATTTTCCAAAAATATGGAAGCAGAAGATCCTGAATATCATTGTTGATAATTGGTAGTGGCCATTTGCACTTTTTATATTAGGATATGAATAATTGGAGCTTCTGGTGTTCCTTTTTCCAAGTTTCTTAATGATGACATAGCATTTTCCATCAAGTTATTTGTTTCATAAGTTATACTTAATTGAATCTTCTATTTCTTTAAAGACAAACTAGGATATTTATAACATGTTTCTAGTTTGTATTTAGTAGAAACTTATAATTCATTTAAATCAACTGTTTCTGATAAACTGTCACCTTTTAGAAATTTCCGACCTTTTTTTGTTCTCATAACGAACAATATTTGAATTAAAAATAATCGTATGCGAGAGAATTTTTTTAAATGTATACATAGATAGTGGATGGAAAAACATATGTGTGTGTGCAGTGATTTTTTTTAATAAAATACATCATTTTTCCAATAAGTCAATTAATTTTATTTGTTTTCCCATACCTTATTGGAAACTTGATTTATATTTTAGCATTTTGCACATTTACAGATTTTCCATATGCATGCATGACTCTAGAGCAAATAAAACTAGAAATTAAAAATCTCACAACAATTTTTAGCGTTCCTCCATGGAATTTAATAAAAGATTACAGTTACAACCTTTCATTGACACCATTACGAAAGAATGATATATATTTCTTCGAAAAATATTCAGATCAACTCGCAGATTTTCAACCATCTTATATGAAAACGATATATGATACAACAAATAACTTAATCTGTCATGTATACCATCTTTATGACATGTATGTTACATACTCAGGCTGTTTTTCGGATGGCGTTCATTTAATTCAACCAGATAACGAAGGGCCTTACGAAATTCGAATGACAAAAGACGGCCCTGTAATTGACTACTATGAAAACGTCATAGCCGTTGGTCATTCTCAAATAATGAACTACGGCCATCATATTAATGATTTTTTAAGTCCATTGATGATAATTCCAGAAGAAATACAGAACAAATCAGTAATAGTAGGATACGGTTTGAAGAATCTTGTTCTCGAAACACTAAATGCCTTAGGATTTGAAAATAAAATTAAATTTTTAGAAGAAGGTCAATGGATATTCGCCAAGAACTTATATGCATGTGCAAGGCCACGACCACATCTATCTCATTTCGGGGTCCCTCAGTTAGAACTCTCAAGAAAATTAAGAAAATTTTACAAAGTTGACAAAATTGAGCCAACAAATTACTATTTGTCAAACAGAAATACTAAGATAAGATCGATTTATAACTTTAATGAATTATTTGAAGCAGCAAAAACAAGATTTCCAGAAATTAAATGGAAAACAGCTCCAGACCTCATTTTGACTGTCAGAGAAACAGCACTAATATGGTCTAAAGCAAAATTCATGTTCACTGTCACAGGAAGTAACTCAATGAAAGCGATTTTCATGTCATCTGATTCAGTTTTTGTGGATGTGATTGGAAATTTGCTTGATCCACCAATTATTAAGTGCTTCTTGTCTGTTGGTGTTAAAGTTGTTATATTTTCTATTAAAAATATGAAACATTTCGAAATTTCAGAAAATATAGTTGACATTCCACTGGCAATGAAGGCATTTGAGACAGCTATTTACTATATCAATAATAAGAAATGGCCTCCAACATCAGATGGCATTTCTTTTGTTTGTTAATTATAATAAAATTATTTTTTATTTACTTATGACTTTATGAAATATAGAATGATATAGTGTCATGGATGTTTTTAATGTTATTAGATGTGCAAAGCATCATGTTGAATAATTATTGTGGAAAACAACATTTTAATTCGACTTTAATGATGAAATCCTAAAATTCTAAATATAGGATTATTTCTTATATGTGATGGAGACACATCAAAAATTTAGAGATCTTATTTAATACACGGAGTTATCTAAAAGTACGAATACATGAATGTCAAGAGATAAGTATGAAATGAGTGAAAAGCTGGAGGATAAAATTTTTCTGATTCAGGATCATTATTTAAGTTTGTGAAGAAAATACTTCAATCAAATTCATTACCAGTCTTCAGAGTACTATATTATACTGTATTTTTGGATCTTCATACCGCATAATAATTATAATTTTTCATTGAGTCAACAATAATTTTTTTAAGGAAACCAGATTTTTATTTTATCTCCTCCTAAATACTGTCATTTTCGTATGAATCTCATTATTCTTACAATTTCGTTTCTTCATGATTGCATTACAATAAAAGTTATTATCATTTAACTCTTCAGGAAAATCATATTTTTCCATTAATAATCTATATTCATGTCTGTTAACTGAACTATCAGTATTTTGATAATTCCCATTTTTTGAAGTTGGGTTAACATATCCTCCATGTAATACACAGAAATTAATAGAAAGTTTCTCTTCTGTAATAATGTTAAGATCATTTTTTTCAATAAGGTAAAAATGCTCTAAACAACATTCATAAGCATTCAAAACAAATGAATTTCCTATTGTTAACAGCTTATATATATTAATTGTTGATAAAGGACAATTAATTTCAAAAAGATTTGAATCTTCTTTTTCATCAATTATTTTAATAGTTTTACATGAAACATTTCCACCAAAAACAATATTTTTGTTATTTTTGAAGTGAGTTATGTTGATTGATTCGAGAATATTTTTTGCAGAAGACAATTTGAAAATTGATAGTTTTTCTACGCTGGAATTATCAACTGATAATTGATAAATTCTATTTTCACCTTATGTATTAGTATCTGAATGAAAAATTTGTTTATTTAAATGATTATTTGAACAAATTCGATTTTGGATAATATCTCCTAATGTATTAATAACAATACAAGGCAAACCTGATGAACCACTATTATTTATAAAGCGACAATCTTCAATTAATGTATTATATTGTAAAAAATCTGGATTTGTATTATTAATATCAATTGAAATGCTTTTCAAGTTTTTAAATGTCGAATACTTAATGAAATTATTTGCATTTTGCTTGAAAGGCCCTTTATTCACGAATGCGTACAAATCTCTTGGTCTATCTTTGAAAAAAACATACCATGATTCATGAACCGGAAGATAACGAGCACGAGCAAGGCTGTGCAATGAGTAGCTTACTTGTGCTTTTGGAATGAAGAAATGTAAAAGATTCAAAACAATTCCAAAATGTCAAAAAATGTCGGATAAAAAAAAATTCATTCCGATTATTTCTCCAAAAGTGTCATTTTTTTATCATTTCATTGACAATTTTTTCAGGAGCGAATAAAGATTTAACAGTTGATTTTTTAGCAGTACGTGATGGAACATCTCTTCGTCGTAGTTTCAGTAGAGATGGGACTTCAGAAACGATGCAGCTATTAAATCGAAAAGTTCAACCTAAATCAGTATTAGATGAAATATTTGAGCGATCGAATTATATAAAACGAAGATTAAGGAACTGCAGAACACGGATAAAAGACTTGAAACCATTACAAACAAAATGTTTAGGTCAAAATTTTGAAAACAAATCAACAATTTTGGCAAATATTAACAAGAATTCGCAAGAAATATCACTAATCTTTGAAGATATTAACAGTACATTGAATAGTTTTTTAAATTTCAATTCTCAACAATTTCCTGATCGAAAAATCATTGTAGATAACGTTCATACCACATTAAACGAAGAATACAAGAAGCTTCATCATGAATTTAAGCTTCAACAAACAACATTTCAGACTCAATATTTTAATTTAGACAAACAGACTAACGATGATTCAAATTTACTTATAGAATTCGAAAATATATATACAGGAAATAATAATTCCAATCAGAGATCAATGGAAATGCAACAAAGGCAAAATAATCAAGAATTAGAAGAAATGACACGAAGAGCAAGAGAAGTACAAGAACTATTCTCAGATTTAGCAACAATTATTTCAGATCAAGGTACAATTATTGATAGAATTGATTATAATATTTCTGAAGCTTTAACCAATGCTCAAAAAGGTCATGAAGCTGTAGAAGAAGCTGAAAAATACCAAAAGGGATCAAAGATGTGGATCTGCGCCATGATTATGGGAATATTAGTTTTAATTTTATTTATTATTGCTTTGTTAAAGTAAATAAACATGTTTATAATGAATAAATTATTTAAACAAAGATAAATAAGTAAAAACAAATTTCGATATTCTGAATTGGAAACGTTTTTTAAATATTTTCGATCTTATACTGATAGTGCTTGGAATAGAAATATCAGTAAATTCAAGAGAACGAAGAATTTCTTCAGAATTGAGAGAAATTAAAATATTGAAAATAATAGTTTCATCTGGCTTGATTGTAATATTTTTCCATGTGTATGTATATCTTGTAGTGCCATCGAGGAATTGTGTCATATGATAACCTGGATAATTATACTCCATACCATTATATATAGGGAAATTTAATGAATTTCAAATATTTTATTTAACAATATTTATAAAAAACAAAAATAATACAACACAGAGTAAATCTAATTAGATCTCTTCAAAATCATCAGTAAATCCTGTCTTTTTAAACGATATTGTAGATGAATATTTGGATATTCCTTTTGAAGTGGTCGTAGTTGTAGTAAATGTAGATTCTTTCTGCATAGTATTCATCTTAGACTTATTTGCTTCACTAGCTGTCTTAAATGTTGAGTGGCCTTGAAGAAGACTTTTATCTGATTCAGATTCATTATGATGAGTAGAAATACTTGAAGAAGATGATAATATAGATACTTCTGAGTCTTCGATTCCAGAAGATTGATGCAATTGTGTGTCTTCGAGCTTTGGAGTGAAAACTTTTTCATTTGGAGGTGGAATAAGTGGCTGTGAGGCAATGATTTCAACCGTTTTAGAATGCTCGTTACCAGGGAAGTATTCAACTGTTGCTGTTAAATATAATCTTGCAACTTCTTTTCTATTTGAGTCTCTCATGATGGCTTCAATATCTTTTGACTTACTTCTACCTATTAAGATTAGTGCAGAAGCAAGCATTGGTTTAAATTCGTATTTTGTCGTTCCTAAAATAACAGAATCTTTTTTCATTCCAATGTTGAAAGAAACAGGCCAAGATTTGATTGCGTTAAATAAGTCTGTTGAAATCATAATTTGATATGTCTTTTTAATGTCCCAGGATGTGTTTTCAAGTTCATCTTTGTCTGGTTCCCATGGAAAAGCTGTTGGCTCATTATCAGCAACAGTAATTGATAGTTGTGGATCGAATATATAATCTGCTTTGATAATAAGTTTTTTAAGTTCGATTTCAACAGCAAAAACAAGACTCATTTTTAAACGTATACAAAATGTGACAATTTTATAAAAAAGTGTCACTTAGATTTAGAAAAACAAAAGCTTTTAACCTCAAGGAAGTCCATCAGCTGCCTCGCATCATTACAAAATGATTTATATAAGAGCATTTAGATGTGCTTTTTATTAGCATCATCTATAAAATAAGTATTTTTCAATTGATAAAATTGAAACAATGCCGTGTGAAATAATCGGAGTGTTCATACAACTTATATGATTTAAAAATACTCTCATAGAGATTCATGCCCAATATCAAAACGAAGCTTTGATATCAAAGGCTTATAGTTATAAGCATTACCATAAATCTGCATGTATCAGGATGCTACACGCCTGTAACTTATATCTTATTATCTTTGAATTAATGCCAAATGGGCGTAAGCATGCGCTTGAAAATTTAATAAATAGTTATTTTATTGTAAATCCTTTGAATCTTGGATCCGAGGACCCACAATTTTTAATGAAATGATGAAATTTTATACAATTTTATGAAAAAGTAATATCAAAAAGAAATAATAAAATTTCTTTACTAAAAATTCTATCAATAGTAATTCTTTATGATAAATGTAACTCGTGATTGATTCAGAATTCTTTTTAAGTTTTTTGTTTAAATTAATTTTCAAATAATATCTGCATGTGTTCTAGGTGATGAAGCAATTTCATCCTTGTGCAATTGATTCTTCTCTGATTCAAAGCTGTTTACGTTGAAATTTCGTTTCTCGTCACTTCTTGTTATTGCTCCTGTTTTGGGATCGACAATATATATTGTTTCGTTTTCACATTCATAATTCCATATAATTTTCATGAGATTGCGTGCTTTGGTAGCCATGGTTGGAAAATATGTAAACCATTGAAAATTTGATTTGAATTAGAACTATTAACGCCAACATTCTCAAAAATATTACTATGCATGCCCAGGATGAACACTTTCTATAAAAATTTTATCGATAATATCTCAAATGTTTTTTTACGGTTTATCTCAATTATTTCCAAAATGACTATGATCCTGACAATTTTCTTGACTTTTGCTCATATTGCAATTTTGTGATAATTTAATGATTTTGGCCATATCTAACCTAATTTTTATATGTAATTCCAATAATGATGAAGTGAGGTTAAAAATATCAAACAATTGATATCATATTTTCAATACCCTTGATTCATGGAATGAGAGCTTTGAAGAGATAATTTAAAATACGACAAATATATGACAAAAAAATCAGAATTTCAAAAAAATATTAATAATTCATGTATAAATCCGATACGAATTCGCAACACAATAGTATCTAATAATTCGAATGCTAGTTTGAGATTAGTTCAGGTCTTTTTTATATTTATTTTAAAAATAATAAAATGCGAGCGAACCACTAACTTTATAAGGTAAAGTAAAATTGAATGGGAAAGAGATATGAGAAAATTTAAGATGTAATTTGTTTATTATAATAATATTGGAAATATTCTAGTATTGTGCTTGAGTTGATATTTACATACTGTGGACGGCAAAATATACTGCGACGCCAAGTGTAATAATGAAGCTAACTAATAATAAAACGAAAAGTTTATCATTTCCGATGATTAATGTTTCTTCACTTTTGTTGGCAGCCTCTTTTGAACCTTTTGTGTTCAGTTTTTCTTCCTTTGCTTCAATTTTTGCCTGGTTTTCTTTTCCGCTCATATAAATGTCACTTTTTGAAAATTTGATCGTCACTAAAATTTTAGAACAAAAATATTTCTCCCTTATTGAAGTGCAATATTAAAATTATTTGAGCTAATTTGCATTTTTCCCACATACTTTTTAAAAATTAGGAACTTATTTTATTTGATTTCAAATTAATTTTGGAATTGATCAATAACAGTGCAATTTATAATGTTCCTAGAACTTTCTGTGCACATAAATTGTAATTATGTAACCTCAATTTATCTTCCACTTACTTTTTGATCCAATATTTTATAAATTGTTAAATTATTTAAACAAGAACACAATGGAATTGTTAGAAAACCTTTAATTGATGACCTTAAGGAAACTAAATCATTGGTTTTTATATAAATAATTTCTCATTAAAAAAATTGGATTTTTTTTACTTCTATACAATAATATTGTTTAATAAACTTGATTCATATTATTTGGGAATGGTGGTACAGGTATCTGTCCCCCGAAATATCCGAAAATATTATAATCTATTGGTATTCCAGCAACTTCAGGAGGTAAAAATAGAGTAGGAGCTGACTGTTGAATGAATGGTTGAGAAGGTGGAACTTCTGGCTGAGAAAAGCCTGGTGGAGAACTAATTGTTTGTGGAAATGATTCAAAGGAAGAAACAGGAATAGAATCCATGCGCGGTGAATTTACCACTGAATCAAAGCCTTTCTGGTAAGTGTTTTCGATCTGTGGAGGAGTTTGAACTGGTTGATTAAGAATAACAGGATTTAGTTGCATTGGAGAAACAAATTTCGGTTCAGAAATTGGTACATCTGATTGATTTATTGATGGCATTGTTGTTGGCTGATTTTGATTTGATATTTTTTTTCTAGGTACATAAGTTTGTTGTTGTTCACGTCTATTGTAAGGTCTACGATTTTGATAATCTTTTCTTTCATAATTCTGTGAGTTTTGATTTAAGGATGGATATTCATTTTGAGAATTTGTTCTTGTTCTATTTTCTTGTTGCTCGTTTCTTGTGGTATAATGCTGTTGCTCTGGTTTGAATTTCTGCTGTCTTTGATTTAAATTGCGCTCTTCCCTAATGGGTCTTTCATTATTTGTTTCATTATTTGTATTTTGAACTTTTTGAACTGGTGCAGACTTAGGAGTTAAATCCTGTTGTACATATAATTGCTTTTTCTCTGGTTGCTTTTGCTTTGATTTGAACTCTTCAAAATCTCCTGAAATAAGTCTATCAATAACCTCATCTTCTGTGCGAAGCTCCGCAAGAAGATCTTGAATGGTTAATATATCAACATTAGGAAACATTTCTGCAATTCTTGCGGCTTTACTCATTATTTAAAATGTTTTTTCTGTTTCTGTTTATAAAATTGATTCTGTATCTCTGTATGACCAAATAAGTTCTATCGTCCTGAAAAATCTTCATCTTGAGTGAGTGTTTTTTACAAAAGCCTATATATTCAGTTAGTGACATTTGAAATAATACAAGATTCCGGCTAATTTCTCTGTCTTACAACCCTTAACCTCTATTTTCTTGTAATACACATTTAAATCGGAAAACTGCCATTTAAATTAGCTGACATAGTCTATATTTACAAAATATGGTTATTACATCCACATTGAATTCAAATTATTCTACTGTTCATTAATTTTTCAATTAAATTTCATGCAATTTCATTGGATTTTGAATTGATGCGTTATGGCATATCTCAGTGATATCATTTTCAGCTGAATTTGGAGTCAGTAATTGATTTGTTTCCACATGAATAAAAAAGTGACTAAAAAGTGACAATGTTAAATGAACTGTCCTCTTTGCGACTTTACATTCCAAACAAATTCTCAATTTTTAAAGCATATATTAGAAGCTCACGACAAAGACCATTTCTATTTTAACAATTTAATAGCCGGATTCAATACTTGCAAAGAATGCGGCACAAAATTGTCAACAAAACAAGAAACAATATCACATATTTCTACTTGCAAGACAGACAAAACGCTATACTTCATATCAAAAAAGGCAAACAAGCGTGCAAAAAAGCATGTTGAATTACTTGGTCCGTTTTGCTTGAAGCTCAGTCAACAGAATAAGCCACAAAATCAGAAAAAGGGATATAAGAACGATCAACGTCAAAATCAGCAAGAAAATATTGATGATTTAGTTGAAGATGAGGAGAATGAAGAATATATTAGGTTTATTGGTGATACAATAGCAACAAACGGATTGGATGTTGGAAAAGCCGATGTAGGTCCTATAGCTCCAGTCACTGCTGAAACAAAAGAAACTCTTGATCCAAATTCTGTTGCTTTGGATGATGAATTCTGGAAGCAACTTGATAAAATAGATTCGGCAATGAGAATGCAGAACAAAATCGATATTGATGAAGATGGAAACCCAACTTGCACACTTTGTAAACAAACTTTCCATTCCTTGGCCCGACTTCTTCAGCATTACTGGACTACACACAAGGGAATGCTTTCTGAATACAAATAATAGTGTTTAAAGTATAGAATTTAATAATATTTTACGTTTTTTCTTATAACTCTAATATTTGTCTTACGTGTTTATGGCTCATATGTAGACGTGATCAATTATATAATATATATTACATTTCAATGTAATATTTGATATGATTTTGATTAACGTTTCCAATTCAATTAGAAATTCTTTATATGCATTCCTTATATTATATAATTATGTATTTACTCACTTATTTTAATAGAATACAAAATCTAAAATCTCAATTTTTGATCACATGAATAATTAGTTCATTTGAAGCATTGATTGTATAAACAAACTGATAATACTAGTTTGTAGAAAACAATTTTTTTCGCATTCATGAATGATAAAGTATTTATAAACAAAGTATTACAATCAATCATCAACAATTAATTATCATGGTTAAATAGGAGAAAGTAGATTTTCTGCGCGAACTCGTAGTGTTTCCATATAATCTGATAGGCTATGGAGTTGATTTACGACTTTTGCAATATATTGATTCTTTTGGATTAGATTTGGTGATAAACCTGAAATAAGTCTATCTATATCTTGTTGAAGCACTACAATTTGGTGAATTATAATTAAAGAGTCTGCGTTAAGATTATTAATTTCTATTTCCTCTTCTTCTTCAACATATTCGTATTCTTCTTCTTCTATTTCTGGGTGTTCAAAAATAAATGGCTTTTCTGTTATTAGTTTATCGACTGCATCTGCAAAGTTTTGAGAAAGTTTTACTATCTCCTTCTGACGAGAAACAAATACTTTATCATCCCATTGCTCTTCTTGGAGTGTTTGAACATTGTTAGTCATCAGATTTCAAATGTACGTTTATTTGTGATGTTTACAATTTTTCTTCAAAATCTCATACGATTCTTAAGGGTGGACACGAGAGGATCATGTAAACTTCAGAATTTAGAACCTTATTTTTAGGCATTATCTTGGCTCCCTATTTAGGCTCGAAAAGCAAAAAATATCAAAAAATACAACTTGACTCCATTATGACCCTTTCATGGAGGTAGTTTTTATCCGCTAGTATTTTCCCTTTGAATCTCTTTACAATTCGAAATCAAATTCAAATCTCAGTAGAAGAAAGGAAGAATCGACTTACTACGGTTGTAATACGAATAAATACATATATTTAATTATTTTTATTTACATAATAATTGTTTGAAGCTCATATTCCATCAAATTTTTAAATAAAAACATTAAAATGTTGAAAATGTTCATATATTTTAATAGGGTTTTGGCACTTTATTGAGGAATTACTACATACATAGTCGAACTGAACTTGATATTTTGAAATTTAAATTATTTATCAAAATTAAAATTTAACTTGAAATTTATAATTATTTAGTCATATTTTGCATAATTCTAAGTAGATTTTGCAAAAAATCAAGAAAGAAAAATTTTAACGTGCTTTATTTTTTCTTTTTTATAATAATACATATTATTATATAATTAACATATTCATAATGTTTCACCCTTTCAAAAATATAATCCTCCTCCTCTCAAATAAACGTACATACGGGTGGCCTCTTTTTTCAAAAAATTAAAATTTGAAATTTTGGGCTCAAATATTAGAGATTTTTTCAACCTTCAATAGGGCTGTACAAAATCGAGAAAAACATTGCCGTGCGGTAATATAGGGTCAAAAAAATTGCGCCTCGGCGGCTCCGCCGCCTCGGCACTATTAAGTGCGCATTATATTTAATATGTCCTTCTTTTTTTTCTTTTTTCTTCTTCTTCTTTTCCTTTCCTTCTTCTTTTCCTTTCCTTCTTCCTCTCCTTCCTCTTCTTTCCTTCTCCTTCTCTTTTTACAACAACGTCGAAGATCTTCGAATTTGATTGTTGGAAAAGCATCTATTTCAGATAAAGGATGCCTTTCTCACAGTCAACATACAAGGGTCCTGGCTGAAACGTTCTCAAAAAGCCTGAGATGGTAATTCTCTGATCACTCATAGCTGGGCAGGTAGTCATTGCTGACAATACCTGTCTTTATGCATGTACGCTTTCATGTATATGGGTTTACACTATCAATTCGCAAAGTTGTTCCGAATTCTTCCAAAATGGAAGGACCCGAAACAACTTTGCTTGTTAACGATACAGACGCATTACTTTGCATTGATACTGTGCTGAGTTGTGTAGAAAGTTTGATTAGAGTTGTTTTGTTCTGGTATCTCTCATCTTCTGATGAGAGAAATCAAAGCAACACAACTCTAATGAGTTTGTTTTCACTCATTTATATGTAGGTTTTTAGTTCGATTGGAGCTGCTTCATAATGAGATCTCTCATCAATTGATGAGGGAGATCATAACAAAGCAGCTCTAATGTATATGCTCGTATTAACCGGGTTGTAATGCGTTGTAACGTCAGCTTGTAGTTCGTTTGGGGCCACTTCACATTGAGATGAGAAGAAATGATTAAAGGACTCTGAAAGGCTTTGGCCGTTGATGTTGTAATCGCATTACTTGGAACTAGCTGGATGCTAAGCTAGTTAGTATGGTTAAGTTGGGTACGGCGGCACTGCGTTCCACCTTACCCAAGTTAACCTTAAATATTTATGAAACCGTTAACGTAAATTTTACAACACAACCATAACACCAACTTAACCTTAAATATTTACAAACCGTCTGACACATAAATGACTTCACTAACGAACTCACTAATGTAAAAAATAAACGTTCTCACTATCGTTCTCACTAACGACTTCACTAATGTTCTCATAAATTTTCCTCAATATCTTCATCATCAGTGTTAACCCTATTGTAGTCATACTTGAAGCCATAAACTTTCTCTAACTTCTTAACGTACAATTTACATAACTTACCTTCATCATCGTATGGTTTAATGATATAACTATTTCTATCTTTATACACAGTCAATGAAAAGTCAACTGGTCTCGGATGCATTTGAAAGAACATGTTATGCTCAGGAAGGAAGAATAAATGTTTAAATGTATGTTTGTTATATTTTTCGATTTGTATGAGTTGCTTTTGTTCTGTCATTTACATCCAAATAAAAATTTTCAGTAAAATAAAAAATACAATAAAAATTAATGATATCACCACTCCCACACGTATGAAAACATAGCACAAAAATAAATTTAGGTGAAGTGGTGAGATCTCACCTCTTTTTTCACCTGTTTTTTCACCCTGTTGAATTCATTGCTTTATAACTCTCTTCCTTTCTCCAACTCTTCTAACTTCTTCCTAAGTTCAGCAATGTTGTCCTCATGAAGTTTAATCTTTCTCAAAATTCCTTCTTTATCTAATGGTTGCTTTATCTTTCTAAACTGAACTCTACCATCCTTCATAGTATGAATGTAAAAACCTTCTGGAATAGTTCCTGATTTAATGTATTCTACCAAAAACTTTTGTTTCATTGCTTCAGTGACTTTATTTGTCATTTTACTCTAAGGTGAAGCTAGCACAGCGATAATGGATTTCATGACTTTTTAGTATTTCATGCAATCTTAACAGATAGCCTTATAAGTACTTCCAGTGTCCCTAGCTATCCCTCCTTTTTATATAACTCCATGACATTTATAATCTCGCGAAACTTAACAGGTAGCATAACAGATTAAAATCAGATGAGGTTTTGAACCAAAATTTCTAAGCAACGTTGTCAAGGATTTTTGAGGAACTAGGGACAGAGTGTGGCAAAGTCCAAGATTTAATTTATCTTCATCTGTTTCATCAGCTATCTCATCTAATATGCCAATATTTTATTCATAACTCGTGGCAAACCCACTAACTTTCGTTATGTTCATCTGCGTGCTTCATCTGATAGAAAGTATGACTTTCATTAACTCTGTGAGATAATGAAAACTACTAGGGACAGAGACCATGACAAAGTTTATGACTTTCATTATTTCCAGAACTTAATGAAAACTACTAGGGACAGAGACCATGGCAAAGTTCATGATTTAATTTATTCTCTCACTAACAACAAACACAAACTCCAACACTAACGTCAAGTACTAACCTCAGCACAAATGACAAACACTAACAACAAACACAAACTCCAACACTAACGACAAAAATAAATGTCCTCACTTCTTAACAAAGTAATATGTGCTTCTTACACCACCATAGCTCAAACGTTTCTTTTCAAACATCGATTGAAACTTATTTTGAGCCATTGGCTTTAGTCTCTTTTTCTTCAAATACGCCAAGAAATCTTCTTCACATCTTTTCACTTCATAGCCTTCTTTAAACTCCTCCTTGTTAAGTTCTATGAAATCCTTTATCTCATTCTTTGTTGCAATGGCTTCTTCACGAACGACATCGTGAACTATTTCATCATTGCATTCATGTATGACCTCCTCACTGTTCTCATGAACTATTTCATCACTGTTCTCATGTATGACCTCCTCACTGTTCTCATGAACTATTTCATCACTGTTCTCATGTATGACCTCCTCACTGTTCTCATGAACTATTTCATCACTGTTCTCATGTATGACCTCCTCACTGTTCTCATGAACTATTTCATCACTGTTCTCATGTATGACCTCCTTACTGTTCTCATGAACTATTTCATCACTGTTCTCATGTATGACCTCCTTACTGTCTTTCATAAGCGTTTCAAAGTCTCCTTTACTCATTACTTCAATCTCATGCTGTTCACAGTAGTACTTAAACTCACTGTATATGTCTTTGTTGTATGTTATATTGCTTCCCATGTACTCCATGAATTTTTCAAGCACTTCCTCATAATTCACTGTTTCTTTCTTTCCACGACCTTCTAATATCATACTTGCTTCGTAAATATAACTTCTTGCAGAACCGTCTCGCTTTCTACTTCTCTTCACAAATTCTCTCATCTTGCCACCAAATACATTTGAACTACATGCAAAGAATTCATTCTCCTTCGCAAATTCTTTATATCTTCTGTAGCACTCTGTACAATTCCATCCGGATACAAACTTTTCATAGAACTCCTCGTAAAACATTTGGTAAGGTGTTTTGTTCATTTCGATGAGTTCTTGTTTAGCCCTGGTGAATGGTATCTTCCTTACATCAAATTCACTTAAATCTTTCTTCATGAAGTACGTCAGTAAGTTTGAATAAAACTCTTCATTAAAGCTTTCAATGAGATTTGAGAAATATTCGTAATTTCCTTTGTATCTGCTGCTTACGTCAATGACAACAAATCTTCTGTCGTCTTTGTCAATCTTTACTGAGTTGAAGTTGTTAGATATCATGATAATATTACAAACATTTTATCTTTCTTACTGGCTGACACTTCTGATTTAAGTCCAACTGAGTCTCTGTTACTATTGACTTTAGTGCGTCGTGGTTCATGACCTTAGACGTATCGCATGAGCTTAGTTCATTGCATACGATGAGCTTCATGTTCTCAATAGCAGCATTGAATCTACCAACCACATTCTCTATTGCCGTTATATTATTGTTGGCGTACTTGCTAATGAGCTCGCATAGAACATTACTAAGTATATTCTTACCAGTTCCTTGCTTTCCTGTTAACAAAAGTACTGTTCCAGTCTTTCCACAAGGATTTTGAACGATGTAGGCGAACCAGTTCAAAACATACTCATAAAGCTCTTCATCCTCATTACATATGACATCGTGAACATGTTTCAAATATCCTTCAATAATGCTTTCATCTACTTCATTCAGTACCTCATACTCATATCCTCTGAAATAGCTGTAAATGTCATCTCTTTCGTCAAAGAATCTCATACCTGACTTCATAAGATAGTTCTTGTTCTGACCCGCTTCATAAATCATCAGTGCGTTCACATCCTTCTCTCAATACGTCCTACATAAACACTCTTCATGAGCTTA